TAGGAGTGGAAGTTTCTAGTATGCTGGGGAAGACAGGATGTTGGGTTACAGATGGCCACTGGGGTGCTGTTTATCTTGGGGTGATAAGTGGATGAGGCTTAGCCAAGGTGGGCAGTGTTCAGGGTCACAGGCACACGGATGAGCTAAGTTGGCCAGGTGTGAGAGAGATGCCATGGCCTTTTGGGTATGGCTTCTATTTCCCACTTAAAAAGGCAGGGGTCCAATATTTGTTCTGTAAACGATAAAGGGAAAATGTCACCTTGAACGACTGGCAAATCCAATGCCTGCCTACAGCAAAGGCCCTAGACCAGTGGTGGCAAACCTTTTAGAGATGAGTGCCCAAGCTGCAGCCCAAAGTCCGTTTATTTATCCCCAAGTGTCAACACTGCAGTTGAACCTGAATGCTGAGGTTTTTAGTACATTAACATCTTTTGTCTTAAAAGAAAAAACAAATAACACGCTTGCCTAGCTTTGCCCCCACTGCTATAATCTGTGGCTTCCCACCGGATCACTTGGGGCACTTTGATAGCAGAGGATGATTCTGACTCTATTGGTCCTGGAGGGGCCCAGGTCATGCTAATCAGGTTATAAGATACAGTAGAGGCTGAGAACAGCCAGTCCAAAAGGAATGTCTGTTGGTACCTTGCAGGAATATGTCTCCTTAAATCTTTTGATTTTTTTTTTTTCAAGAAAAGCTGGAAATCAGGACTTTTTCCCCTATGATTCGTCCTCATGTTTCAAGGCTCAACTTAAAAAAAAAATGGCGAAGTCGAGGAGCACTTGCTGTGGGTTATTCTAGGCCCCTAATCCTGAGTCATGTCACTATGACCTGTATTTTATGGGCAAGGAAACAGAGGCACAGGAAGGCTGTGTAACTCACCTAAAGTCGCACAGTGAGAGAGCTCAAGACCAAAATGTAGCCCCAGGCAGTCTGGAGCCAGAGCCCAGGCTTTGACCCACAGAACTCATTATTGGCCTGGTTCTGGCCAGCTGGAGGGTGGTGTGGGGGAGTCTGGGAAGGAGCTGCAGCGGGTGGCTGCCACCCTCAGCCTCTGGGTGGAGAAGGAAGGACAGAACAGCCTGGCATCTGGGCGGTCCCTGAGGCCCTTCACAGGAGCAGAGCTGCTGCTTTTACCCAGGCCCGGCAGGTCCAGACTTGGGGTTTCATCCAGGGCCCTGGCAGTGCTGGCTCAGCCAAGATGCCACAGATAATGGGCCTCGCCTGGTGGTGGGGCATTGCCAGGAGGCTGTGGGATTTGTTTGTGGCGGTGACTCAGGGCAGGTCATCAGGTGGCAGCTATCACAACTCAAACCCTCTGGCTCCAGGATGCCCAGGAAGTGTCTGGGCCATCTGAGACTGCTGGAGCCCCAGGGTCCATATGGAATCAGGAGGCTGCCTTCACTGCAGAGTGAGAGGGCATCTTCCCTCCTGCTTTGCGGATGGGGCCGGGAACAGTTTGAGTAACAGGCAAGAGAGAAGGCTCACAAGGTGGCTCTGTGGATTGAGGAGGAAAGACAGGCCATTTTCTGTGGGCCTACTCTGTGCCTGTGTTCATGTGTTTATTTGCTGCTTTTACTTCTTTGAGAAATGTCTGTTCATTTCAGAAGGTCATTTTTGGATGGGTCTTTGTTGCGGCGGGGGGGTGGTGTTTTTTTTTTTTTTTTTTTTTTTTTTTTTTTTTTTTTTGGTTTTTTTGAGACAGGGTCTCACTGTATAGTTGAGACTGACCTGGAACTCACTATGTAGCCCAGGCTGGTCTCGAACTCGCAATGATCCTCCTGCCTCAGCCTCCCAAGTGCTGGGAATACAGGCGTGAGCCACCACACCCGGCCTTTTTAATTTCTTAATTGTTATCTCAATCCACGGGTTTGGTCCAGGTTTCCTGGCTGAACTTGGAGCTGGGATTTGAACCCAGGTCAGTCCCTAGTCATTTCTTCTCCTAAGCCCCCTCCTTTCTTCTCCCCCAGGGCCTTCTTGTCCCACCCTAATAGGTCAGGGCCAGGTGTGCCTGGCTGGGCATCTCAGACAGACTGGACTACGCAGACACATGGCCACTGAACAGATGAGGCTCAGAGAGATAGGGGGTGATGGTGGGGAGCAATGGTGCTGAGACACCCACCGAATCCTAAAAAAAAATCTATAATCACCAGGCCAAGCATCATTTAACTGAGGGCCAGGATCTGGCTCAGTGGCGCCACGCCTGCCTGGCAAGCATAGCGTCTGAGTTTGATCACCGGTACCCCCCCAAAGTCATTTACCAAGTTAGAAATAAGAATGAAGTCTGTGTGTTATGTATGTTTTTACCTCACTAAAAATACTTTGTCCTCCAGCTCACTGCTGTGCTTTTGCTCAGAGCTCTCCTCCTCTGTAGACAAGGGAACCAGGCAGCCACAGGGCCGGGGCTCTTGCCTGTCTGTTTGACCCTCCTGGGATGCCATAGATGAACCCCCCACCAATGGAGGGTATGAACTTGGGGGCCAGGCAGGGACATTTCCCACATGGTGGGATGAATAGGAAAGAGGTGGCTAAATCCTGGGCCCCAAAGGGAGCCCCAGGGGCCGCCCGTCTCTAGTGTGTGCTCAGCCTCTCATCCTTTCCCAGCATGGCCATTGTCACCTGTCCAGCTTCCTCCCCTGGCCTTGTGCCCTACACTGTCCAGCTGTGAGTGGCTGAGCCGACCTCACTGGGCCGACTGCAGCATCCACTCTCAATACTCACCTCCCTGCTTTCTCCTGGGTGCAGGGGCCTCAGAGATGGGAGAAGCCAGTTCCAGGCCAGAGGAGCCGCTGGTACAGATGGGGCCAGCAATACCTGGGGTGTCTGCAGAGGCAGGTTATTGAGTTTGGACTGTCCAGGATCCCTGGGCCTCCCCTGCCTGCTGTCAGTCCATCTGCTTTAGTTGAGGCTCCTCTCTGACAGGTGGGTGCCTTAGTTACTTTTCTCTCATGGCTAGGACAAAATACCCGACACCCAAAGTTAAAAGGGGAAAGGTTTATTTGGCTTACAGTGTGTAGAGGTTTCAGTCTGTAATTGGCTGGCTCCAAGGCAGGGTGACAGAGGGACCACAGTTCATGGTGATGGTGAAAGACCGTAAAAGCAACAAGGGACCTTAACAGAATCTCCCTGCCCCTTTTATCTTATTCAGACTACTTAGGGCAGATAGCACTCATGTCCTTATCCTAGGGCCCTCTGGCCTAGCTCTACCATGAAGCAATCACACACGCTAGATTCAGTCACCCCTGGGAAAGCATGAGACTTTGGGGGACACAAGCCATAATGGCAGGCATGTGACCGGCTAAGTCACCCTGGTCCTTAGGTTCCATGCTCCACAGGGTTGGTTCAGCCTGTGAGGGACCGGGGGGGGCCTCCTCCTCCTGCAGGGGCTGAGCCCACTGGCTCTCCAGCCTGCCCTGCAGCCCCGACCTGGGATGATGGACACCACCGCCTCCCCTACTGCTGCAGCTCTGTGCAGTCAGTCGACAGCCAGGCCCTGGGTGGGAGGTGCAGGTTTTGGAAGGGAGGCCCCACATGACCCCAGATGGTCCCCGGGGCCACCTGGTCCCAACCCAAGGGCTGCCCAGCACCCAGCTCCAGGAACAGCTGGACCTGGCCTCCGGGACTCTGCCCAGAGGGGCTCCCCAGCTCCAAACCCAGCCCTCTCTGCCTAGCCCGGGGGCTGGGAGGGTGGGTGTCCTTCCCCTGCTAGGCTGGTGACATGATCACAACAGTGGTCCCAGCTGAAGGGTCCGCAGGTACCTAGGAGTGGATCCACAAGCTGAGGGCAAAGGGACCCTAAGGCAGTGTGGCAGAGGGCGGAGCCTGCTGAAGCATCCAGCACTGGGTCATGCTGTCCTTCTCGGGGGCAGGGGGCATGGTCTGGGGCAGGAGGGGCACCCGGTTCGGGGTGTGAATCTACCCCGCCTTGCCTCTTGGAGCCTCTGTGTACCGTAGCGAGGGGGACTTATCCTACCTGCTTCCTGGATCATTGTGAAGATTAAACAAAACAGATCATGTAAAATGCTCATCCTGGAGCATGGCCTCAGCAGAGGGTGCATGGACGTTTACTTTTATTGGTATGAAGGATAAGAACCCTGACACCAACTATGGGCTTCCTTTCTGGGTGCACATCACACATCTGTAAGATGGGGTGATGGCAGGGCCCCCCTCAAGGGTCAGTATGGTCATTATGAGGCACGATGCACATAGAGAGTCTGGCACCAGGCCAAGCACACAGTAGGTGCTCAATAAATGTCCATTTCCTCCTTGGCACACAGCTTCGTGCTGGGCCTGGCAGAGCAGGTGTGGTGGGGGTAGACAAGCCCAGGTAGAGTGCCCACTGACGGCTGTTTTCTCCAGGATCCCGGCTCCTGAGTCTCTGGTGGCTTCACATCTATTAAATGATAACTGGAGACTTGATGGTCCCACCTCTGACTCTATAGACTCACATTATGGAGGAAAAAGCCCCTATAAAAACCCCACAGCTGGTGTAACAGAAGAAGGCTGCACCTCGCTTTGGGGAAGCCCCTCAAAAGGCCCTTTTGGTTCTGAAAAGACGACCACTGCTCCCCCAATCCCAGAGGGAGGTTCTGAAGGCGAGGTCACTGCAAAGGACACAGCTTTGGGTGAGGGGAGCAGCACCCTCCCCCCAGCTGGAGAGTGGCACTGTGACAGGCCCTGGGGCTCACAGCCAGGGTTACCCGGCAGAGGGTCTCAGGGGTGAGGGTACAGCCAGTGTCAAGGAGCAGACGGGCGGTGAGGGGCCAGGAACATGCTGGACAGAAAGCAAAAAGCTCAGTTTAAGTTGCTACCAGTTGGGACTTGAAATCTTGCTCCTGTCCCCAAACCCTCAGCAGAGTCTGTTGGGTACACAGCCTGTGTTTGTGGGGTGTTGGGGATTGAAGGGGACAGGGGGCAAGGAGTGAAAGTTGACAGGGACCGTGGTTCCTCCCGGGAAGCCCCAGAAACACGGAGATACTTCCCACACTATGGTGAGTGGGGATTTCAACTGTTTTATTACTTATCTTTAGTGACTGAAACTTAGGACTCTGGACCCAAAGGACTTAGGACATCGGGACATCAGGGTCCTTGCTTTTTATTCGTATTGGGACTGGCATTCATTCCCAATGAGAGGGCATTCATTCCCTGCTGGGTGCTGGTGGCTGGAATGGTGTGGCCCAGGGCATGGCACTAGGGGAACAGGAAGTAAGGGACCCGTGGTTGGAGTCCCCGCGGAGGATGATGGGAAACTTCAGGGCAGGAGGAAGGCAAGGAGCCAGCTGGGCCCAAGGAAGACGGCTGCAGCAGTGTGGAGGATGGGCGGGCGCTGGATGGAGGCACAGGCCGGGGCCTTTGGGGAGGACATCTGGTGTCCAGGGCAGGGTTTGTTAAGGCTGAATCAACAGGGGTGGGTACCAGGGCGGGTGCGATGCCACCTCCTGGGAAAGAAGGCACCTGGGAGATGGTTCCGGTGGCGGCTCCTTCACCTGCATCAATCGCCGCCTCCTCCCAGTCTGGACTCTCCCCGTGACTCAGCCTGAGGACCCGACAAGGCTTCGGGCGATTTGGAAAGTTCATTTCGGAGGTGACTCAGTTAGAAGGGTGAGGCTGGGGGAAGGCATCTCACCCCTCGAGAGGTTTTGTGTGATCCCCAAGTCTTCACGGTCACAGCTAAGGACCAGCCGAGGCACCCTCTGGTCTTGTTTTACAAATGGGGAAACTGAGGCCCAGCCAGGGGGAGGGATTCGTGCCGGTTTGTGCGGCCGAGCCACTGCCTGGGCCCAGCCGTGTTCAGTCACCCTCTGTGGGGCCCTGGGCGGGGCTGTTCTCTCTGGGCCTCTCTTTTCTCATCTTTTAGCAGGCTCAGCAAGTCTGTGCGAACACCTGTCTTCCCTCAGCCCCCAGCTTCCTCCCTTCACCATAGACATCGCCCTTTGTGATGGTCCCATGTGCAAGTCCCAAGCAGCCTTTCAGCTTACAGAATGTCTCTCTGGCTGGACACTGCCCCAGGGTCCTAGGTCCCTGTCTCCTTGGGGATATTTCTCCATGCTCTACCTGCTGCGGACATCCTCGCTGCTGTCCCCACCATCTGGACACCTTCCATGCCGGCAACCTGGGTGACTCGCATGACCTCATAGATGACCGGTCTAGAGCTGTGGCCACTCACTCCCTGAGCCTTCCATTTCTGATGATGCCACTCCCTTTACCTGCCCACCGCCACAGTCACTATGGGCTTTGTGGTCCCCCAGGGCTACCCGCTGTGAAACCTACATGTTGAGTGGATCTCTGCCTCACAGCCTGGCCTGTGTTAGCCCACCTGCACCTATCCCTGCCTGATGGGTCCCAGTGTCCCAGAGCCTCAGGGTCTAGTCCTGGCTGTGCCTTGGGCGCCTCCTTCAAGCCTTTTGACTGGTGGCTGCTCCTCTGGCTGTCTTCACTGGCCTAGTCTTCATCCCTTCCTCAGGCCTGAGCTGCCTGCAGAGAGGTGGCCAACTGTGACCTCCTCAAGGCCACTGGCCCAGGCGGGAGCATCCTTTGTTCCCCACCCATCTTCACAAGTGACCGGTGCATGCCTCCCCTGCTGACCTCCGGTCCCCAGGCAGAGGGCTCCTGCTCGGGCAGGCATGCTGCCCTCTCCTCCTCCCCTGGGACCCCATTCCCTTCCCTCCTTTCTCTGGCGGAGGCTCAGAACCTATTGTGGTGGCTAAGTCCTCACATCTCAGAGTGAAGGGCCCCAGATCTCCCTGGATGCCACGTCTTCTCTCTAGGACCCAAAGTGTCCCCAGCCTGGACCTCCCAGGGGTGGTCAACTAACATGTTCTCAGTCCACCCTTCACTTACTTTGGTTTGATTTTTTTTTTTTTTTTTTTTTTTTTGTGTGTAGATATTTATTAGGGCTTT